ATTATCATATTATTTTGATCCTTCATTTTGCTAAGGTGGTATGTCACATTGTTTGCTCTGCAGTTGTTGAACCATCCTTACATTCCTGGAATACATCCCAATTGACAGTGGTGTATTATTCTTTTAATGTATTGTTGAATTTAGTTTGTTAAGATTTTGTTGAGGATTTTTGTATTAGTGTTCATCTGGGATATTGGCCAGTGATTTGCTTTACTTGTAACATCCTTGTCTGATTTTGGTATCAGGTTAATGCTGATCTCATAAAATGAATTTGGAACATCCTTGTCTGATTTTGGTATCAGGTTAATGCTGATCTCATAAAATGAATTTGGAATATCCTTGTCTGATTTTGGTATCAGGTTAATGCTGATCTCATAAAATAAATTTGGAAGTATCCCCCCCTCTTCTAGTTTTGAGAGAGATGGAGAAGGATTGGTATTAATTCTTTGAATGTTTGGTAGAATTCACCAGTGAAACCATCTGGTCCTCAACTTTTGTTTGTTGGGAAGTTTTTGAATATTAATTCAATCTCTTTACTAGTAATCCGTCTGTTCAGGTTTTCTGTTTCTTCATGAGTCATTCTTGGCAGTGCCTATGTTTCTAGGAACTGATCCATTTCTTTATAGGCTGTCCAATTTGTTGTCATATAATTGTTCCTAGTAATCGTTAAAAGAAAAAGAAAAGGTGACACCCACCAGCCTTTGTCCCTGAGGGTATTTTGGCATGTCCCTAGATTTGCATTGTTAGATGCCTGCCACTAGGCCAGTGTTTTAAGAGTAGCAAATGTGTGTTCAAGATTGAGTCTATGCCTGGACCTGGGGTGAGTGACTTTGGAACCCTGAGCCTGTTAAGAGTAATTTTTCAGCCTATTAGGTCTTTTGGACATGAGCCCCGTTGGTCTTCAAAGCTACATGTTTTGGGGGGCTCATCTGTCAGGTACAGATCTTAAAAGTTGGAATGCCCAGTGTGGGATTCAAGCCCTTTGCTCCTCAGAGAGAATCTGCAGGTTTTGAGTTCCCTTCTCATTGCAGGTCACAGCACAAAAGGTGGCGATTATTGACAAGATGTGTCTTAGCCTCTCATACCTGCTTCATTGTGGGTTTTTTTTTTTTCTTATTTGCAAGCAAATAAATAGTAATGTAGTAATCAATCAGGTAGTTTTTTTGTTTCTTTGTTTTTTCCCCCAAGGAAATTATTCTACCTGTTGCTATAGTTTCAATATGTTTGTGGGAAGAGGTTAAGTAGATCTCCCTATATCACCGTCTTTGACTAGCACCTCCCTGTGTGTCATTATTTAAAATTTGGGTAAGTTTTTTTCACATCTTTACAACTCATTTACATATTATCTCAATTAGGGCTCTCAATACAGACCTCAATAACTTTTGGTGGACAAACTCCAGAGTGGCTCCCATCATCTTTACCTCTTGGAATTCATACTATTGTGTGATTGTTCCCTTCCCCCGAGCATAGGTGGAATGAATGACTTGCTTTTAACCACCAGAATTTGGTAAAGGTGATGAAATGTGCATGATTAAATGCATTTGATTATGTTACATATGATTGTAATGTTAATCATGCAAGGAGACTCTCTGTTCCTTGCTGACCTTGAGGAAGCAACAGACCATTTGGGGAAGACTTAAATGAAAGGAAACTGAGGCCGCAAGTCTGATAGCCTGCTAAGTAACAAATGTCATCAGTAACTATGTGAGCTTGAAAGGGTATCCTTTTTCAATTGATCCTTATATGAGAGCATAATCTGCCTGACACTTTCATTGCAATCTTGTGAGATCCCAAGCAGAGATCCCAGCTAAACCATGCCCAGACACTTGACACATAGAGACTATGAGATAATAAATATATGTTGTTTTAAGCTGCCAAATGTGGTAATATTGTTATGCAGCAATAAGTAACTAACACAGACCTTTACTCATGCAGGTAATTATTACTATATTTTGAGGGGAAAAAGGTTTTACAATGTTTGGGGTTCTTTAAATTCTGGAGAAACCGCCCTGGCTGGTTTGCCTCAGCAGTTGGAGTGTTGGCCTGAAGACCAGAGAGTCCTGAGTTTGGTTCCCGCTAAGGGCACGTACCCAAAAAAAAGGAAAAGAAAAGAAATTCTGGAGAAACAGGAGTTTACTGCTTTACTGATGGTGCTGTTGAAAACATGTCTCAAAGGCAAAGCAGATAGTTTTGTATCATTGTGTGGAATATACTGGTCTCATAGTTCCCTATTAAAATTTAAGAGCTTTCAGGCATCATGCTAGGAATGTTTATTTGTGGAGATTCCACCTACAGCAGTTTTTCTTTCTTAGTTCTGGTAAAAAAACAATAACATAAAATCTTAACTATTTTAAAATGTGTAGTTCAGTAGTATTAAGTATATTCACATTGTTCTGAAACAGATCTCCAGAGCACTTTCATCTTGTAAAAATGAGAAAGTCTACCTATATCCATTAAACTACTCTTTTCCCTTACCCTAACCCCAAGTAAACACCATTTTACTTTCTGTTTCTGTGAATTTGACTATATTAGATACCTCATATAAATGGAATTATGTACTATTTGTCTCTTTCATGACTGTCTTATTTCACAGTTCATTCATGTAATGTGACAGGATTTTGTTCCCTTTTAAGGCTGAATGAAATATTTCCAGTATAACTAAACGCATAAAACATCTTTTAAAGATTTTTTTTTTTTTGGTAGTAAGATATACTAATTACAAATGACCTGAAGTTCTCTTTGACTCATAATTTCTGAAGTGGAATAAGACATTTTGAGTAAGTCAGTATTGTTAGGCAAAACAGGTGATTTGTTTTTCCCATTTCTTGTTTGGTAGTTCTATGACAGTGTTTAGTAGAGATAATAAAAATGTAAAATATCTGAAATATACATTGCCATCTATATTTTATTAAAATTAATTCATACTGTTTTCACAAGTAACTGCTAAACCAATAATAAAAGATACCTCTTTATAATTATAAAATTACAGTTAAACAGAACAGTGAGGAAGATATTTTTTTCTTTTTTTTTATCAATTAATTAATTTTTGTTACAGATGTTTCTCCTTTTCCCTCCACTGATTCCCCCCTCCACCACCCTCCCCACCCTGTCCCCAGCTTCGTTGTCCATGTCCATTGTTCGTGCATACATGCATATAAGTTCTGTGGTTTATCTCTCCCCCACCACCCCCTCTTCTGAGAATTGTCAGTCTGTATTCCACTTCCACGTCTCTGGGACTACTCCATTCTTCAGACTGTTATGCTCATTATATTCCACAAACAAGTGAGATCATATGATATTTGTCTTTCTCTATTTGGCTTGTTTCACTTATGATAATACTTTCCAGATCCCACCATGTCGTCTCAAAGAATAAGAGATCTTTCTTTCTTACAGCTGCATAGTACTCCATTGTGTATATGTACCACTGATTTTTTATCCATTCGTCTACTGATGCACATTTGGGCTGTTTCCAGATCTTAGCTTTTGTAAATAGTGCTGCTATGAACATGGGGGTACATATATTCTTCCTGATTGGTGTTTCAGGCTTCTTAGGGTATATTCCTAGAAGTGGGATCACTGGGTCAAATGGAAGTTCAATTTTTAATTTTTTGAGGTAACACCATATTGTTTTCCATAATGGCTGCACCAGTCTGCATTCCCACCAGCAGTGTACTAGAGTCCCATTTTCTCCACACCCTCGCCAATACTTGTTGTTTGATGATTTGTAGGAAGATATTATTTTATAAAAGATAATATTTTTGTAGTAAGCATATGGGGAGTTATTCCTGTTGTTAACATATACAAATGCAAAATCATTGTGAGAAAGGAAACTCTTTTGAAATACCACTTCTTATTATATTTTAAGAAACATACCAAGTAGAGAGTCAAAAAGATCTGGTAAATCAGTGACATGTTATTTAACAATTCCAGTTATAAATTTTACTGCACTTATGGCTACAGTAATTTTACTGAGCAAGCTCTTCTCTCTTTTCTATTTTCTTCTCTTTCCGACTCATCCCAGTCTCTTCTTGCTATACTTCTTTGAAAAGGGAATCATAGAGAAATGCTTACATCTATTTTGTAAAAATTACAGAACATGGAAATCTGAGGACATCAGAAACCATGATAGTCAATGTCATATGGTTTAAAATAGTTCATGATATAAAGCTTCTCCCTGATGTCCTGTAGATTGCTCAATAGTCTAAATGTCTTCATTGTAACTTATTTGTATGGCAGTCATTCAAACAACTGTGTTTATTGACTGTTGACTAAATGAATGACTTTGTAGTAGGTATTTGGGGAGACTATTGTTATAAAAGGAGACTTCTCATTATACTGTGAGGCCTTTACAGTTTTTAGAATCTAGTATCAGGCACTGATAGGAAAGTTATAGTATGTATAACTTTACTTGGCATACAGGGTGCTAGAACACATTCAATTTCCTTAGTGTGTGTAATGTAATGGAAATAAGAGAAGTAACAGAAACTATATAGATAATGAGCTGTAGAGTAGACATTGCTGGAGTCAGTTTTGGACATAATTTTGTGAGAAAGACGGTTTCTGGTTGGGAAAAATGGCAAGCGTGTGGCTTGAGCCAAAAGAATGGCTGGCAGTTTCCTGAACACGGAACCATTGGGTATAGGATCTGAAAGCATATGCTTGGAACTGATGCTTTAAAAACCACTATATGCAGAGATATGAATAAAGCTATACTTCAGGAGAGTGCTTTTTGTGGCAGTGATTAAGATAAATTGGATGAGGAAGAGGCTATGGGAAAGGAGGCTGGTAAGACCTGGACTTGGGATACAGCTACAAAATTAGATTTAAATTTCCAGATGACTTCAATTTTCATGTGACCCCATTCAACTTAACATCCAAATGTATTTAAAAATCTTTAGGGGAAAGATTCCCCAACATTTTGTCTGTTGTCATAGATTCTTCAAGACTGAAAGAAGAAAAATAATTCAAAGGGAACACGAGATGGCAGCAATTATTATCATCTAAAGAAAAAGATTGAGGAAAGAAAAACATTTGAAATTATTTTTAAAATAAAAAATATGTAGCACTTTATTCTTTATGTGCTATATTCCTTCTCAGTTCAGAGATTACTCAGTCATTGGTTTCATGCTTCACAGCACATCTGAGGTTCATCCTGACTGTAGTAAAAATCCTACTCCATTATATGTGATTATTTCCTAAAATAAAGCTGTGGCTGTTTTCTGCAGATTAATTTTCCTCTGTGTTATCTGAGGCAGAAGAGTTCTGGATGTTGCAAATTTGTTTTAAATGTTCCAGCATTTCTTTTTCTTCCTCTTCTAGTTTTTCATCCTTCCTCATTTCCCACCTAAAAGAAAAATCACGTTAGTATTTTTGTAATTTCCAAACTACCATCGACACTCAGTTATTCAAGACTTGAATATGTGTATTACTGAATTATTGAGGTGTCTGTTTCTCTTAGTTTCTTACTGACGGCCTCTTGGGCAACCTAGTTCATTGGCACTGTTTTGCAGAGTGGGCCAGGAGAATGGAAGAACAAAAGAGTCAAACCAGTGCTACACCAGGGTAAACTTTTAAAGTACTATTTTAAATGAGGTTTCTGTATTTCTAGATTTTAAAAATGTATGTGGCTTACCAGGATATACATGCATATAAATAAACAATAGAATTAGACATTTATAAGTATATATTTTTCATAGTATTTTCCCTTCACTGATCAGCCTATCAGTGGATTTAAATTGCAGAGAGGTTTACCAGGAAGACTTTAGCAGCAAGAAGACTACCAAGCTAAATTGAATATATGTTAAAAGCAGGTCAGTCTGTTCCTAGAAATAAGGTCAAATTTGAACTAGTCAAGTCAAATCACCCAACAAAAGCAGCAAATTGTTAGCAAGGTTCCACAGAGCATTTGCTAAAAGGGGAAAAAAGATAGAAATTAAAAGCTTTTTAACTCGGTATGATTGGAAAATATAGGACAAAATGTTAAGTCTATGGAACTAAATATGCATATAATCTTGCAGAGTGAATATTATCACAATAACCCAAATACAGTTAATCCTTCCTTCCCTTCCTTCCTTTCTCATATATTCTACCTCCCCAGGACAGGTCAGGGCATACTTAAACCAGCACTCCAACAAGGAATTGTCTGTATATATTTCCTTTCTCTTTTCCTCCTGTTTCTACCTAAGCCATCCACAATGATATGCTATCACAAAAGGATGTTAAAACCAATATTGATACATCCTAAAAGACCTTCTGCTATAAGGTCTTTAAGTGCATAAGACTTCTTGTAATTAAATCTATTGGGGGTGACTTTGGTTAATAACATTATATAACTTTTCATTGTACAGTTCTATAATACACCATCTGTGTATTGATTGTATTGTGTCCTCACCATCCATAGTGGAATCTCCCTCTCTCACCATATATTTGACCCCTTTACCCTCTTTATCTCTCCCATAGCTCGCTACCCCTCTGTCAACATTCACAGAGTTTTCTGTGTCTATGAGTTTGTTCATTTGTTGCTTTCTGTTTTATATCCCACATAGGAATGAAATCACATGATTCTTTTCTTTTTTCACCTGACATATTTCATTTAACATGATACTCTCAAGATCCATCCATGTTGTCACAAATGACAGTTTTTCATCCTTTCTTACAGCTGAGTAGTATTCCATTGTATATATGTACCACATCTTCTTTATCTAATCATCCATTGAAGGATACTTTGGTTGTTTCCATATCTTAGCTACTCTGAATAATGCTGCAATGAACATTGGGGTGCATATATCTTTTAAAAATTTTCAGGTAGATACCTAGAAGAGGGATGGCTGGATTATAAGGTAGCTGTATTCTTTACTTTTTGAGGTACCTCCATACTGTTTTCCATGGTTGACAACTTTACCCCCACCCCCCCCCCCCGCCCCCAGCAGCATACAAGGGTTCTCTTTTCTCCACATCATCTCCAACACTTATTTCTTGTCTTATTGATAATAGCCATTCTAACAGGTATCTCATTGTGGTTTAATCTGCATTTCCCATAAAGTTAGTGAAGTTGAGAATCTTTGCATATATCTTATGGCCATTTGTGTGTCTGTTGAGGTCCACTGCCCACTTTTTATATATTCTGGATATAAATATGGCCCTTATAGGAGGTATTGTTTACAAACATCTTTTCCCATTTGACTGGTTACCTTTTTGTTTTATTGCAGGTTGTTTATTTTGCCGGGGAGAAGCTTTTTATTTTGATGTAGTCCTATTTATTTATTTGCAGTTTTGTTTTGTTTTTATAATTTTTTTAATTTATTTTTTTGTTACAGATGTTTCTCCTTTTTCACCCCATTGGCATGCCCCTCCCCACCCCAACCCCGCACCGTCCCCTGCTTTGTGGTCCATGTCTATTGGTTATGTACACATGCATATAAGTTCTGTGGTTTATCTCTTCCCACCACCCCACTGCCTCTTCTGAGGGATGTCAGTCTGTGCCCTACTTCCATGTTTCTGGGTCTACCATATTCCTCAGACTGTTATGTTCATTATATTCCGTATATAAGTGAGATCGTGTGGTATTTGTCTTTTTCTGCTTGGCTTATTTTACTTAGGATAATGCTTTCCAGGTCCCTCCATGTCGTCTCAAAGGATAAGAGATCTTTCTTTCTTACAGCTGAATAGTACTCCATTATGTATATGTACCACTGATTTTATATCCATTCGTCTACTGATGGACACGTGGGCTGTTTCCAGATCTTAGCTATTGTAAATAGTGCTGCTATGAACATGGGGGTACATATATTCTTCCTGATTGGTGTTTCAGGCTTCTTAGGGTATATTCCTAGAACTGTGATCACTGGGACAAATGGAAGTTCAATTTTTAATTTTTTGAGGTAACACCATATTGTTTTCCATTGTGGCTGCACCAGTCTGCATTCCCACCACCAGTATATTAGAGTCCCATTTTCTCCACACCCTCGCCAACACTTGTTTGATGATTTGTTGATGGCGGCCATTCTGACAGGTGTGAGGTGATACCTCATTGTTGTTTTAATTTGCATCTCTCTGATGATTAGTGATGTTGAGCATTTGTTCATATGTCTCTTGGCCATTAGTATGTCCTGGTTGGAGAGGTGTCTATTCAGCTCCTCTGCCCATTTTTTTTTTTTTTTAATCCTCACCCGAGGATATTTTTCCATTTTTTGTACAGATAGAGTGGGAGGGAGAGAGAGGAAGGGAGAGAGAGAGAGAAACATCGACGTGAAGGGACACATCGAGTGGCTGCCACCCGCACAACCAACCAGGGCCGGGGACAAACTGCAACCGAAGTACGTGCCCTTAGCGGGAACCGAACCCGGTCTCTCCGGACCGCAGGCCGACGCTCTAACCGCTTAGCCAAACTGGCCAGGGCTCCTCTGCCCATTTTTTAATTGGATGCTTTGTCTTCCTTTTGTTGAGTTGTATGAGCACTTTATATATATTGGAAATTTTCCCCTTACCTGATATTTCATTGGCAATGATGTTCTCCCATACAGTGGGTTGCCTTTCCATTTTGATGATTGTTTCTTTTGCTGTGCCGAAGCTTTTGAGTTTAATGGAGTCCCATGTGTTCAATTTTTCCTTTGTTTCTGTTGCCTTAGGTGATGTATCAGTGAAAATTCTGCTCGGTATGATGTCCGAAATTTTGTTGCCTACATTTTCTTCTAGAATTTTTATGGATTCACAGGTCACATTTGTCTTTTATCCATTTTGAGTTTATTTTTGTGTATGGTGTAAGTTGATGGTCTAGTTTCATTTTTTTTCATGTAGCTGTCCAATTTTCCCAACACCATTTATTAAAGAGGCTGTCTTTACTCCACTGTATGCTCTTGCCACCTGTGTCAAATATTAATTTAGCATATTGCCTTGGGTCCATTTCTGGGTTCTCTATTCTGTTCCACTGGTCTATATGCCTGTTCTTGTACTAGTACCAGGCTGTTTTGATTACAGTTGCTTTGTAGTATAACCTGATATCTGGTATTGTGATCCCACCTACTTTGTCCTTCTTTTTCAAAATTGCTGTGGCTATTCGGGGACTTTTTTGGTTCCATATGAACTTTTGAAGTATTTGTTCTAGTTCTGTGAAATATGTCGTTGGTATTTTGATGGGGATTGCATTGAATCTATAGATTGCTTTGGGTAATATAAACATTTTAATGATGTTAATTCTTCCAATCCATGAACAAGGTATGTGCTTCCACTTTTTTATATCTTCCTCTATTTCTTTTTCCAAAGTCCTGTAGTTTTCTGCAAATAGGTCCTTTACTTCTTTAGTTAAGTTTATTCCTAGATATCCTAATTTTTTTGGAGCGATGGTAAATGGGATTGTATTTTCAGTTTCTCCTTCTGTGAGTTCATGATTGGTGTATATGAATGCCGTCATTTTCTTGTTGTTCATTTTGTATCCTGCTACTTTGCCAAATTCATTTATTAAGTCTAGTAGATTTTTGATGGAGTCTTTAGGGTTTTCTATGTATAATATCATGTCATCTGCAAATAATGACAGTTTCACTTTCTCCTTTCCAATTTGCGTCCCTTTTATTGTTTCCTCACGTCTGATTGCTGTGGCGAAGACTTCCAGTACTATGTTAAATAAGAGTGGCGAAAGTGGACATCCCTGTCTTGTTCCTGTTCTTAATGGAAATGATTTTAGTTTCTGCCCATTGAGTATGATGTTAGTTGAAGGTCTTTCATATATGGCCTTTATTATATCGAGATAAGATCCCTCTATTCCCAGATTGCTGAGCGTTTTTATCAGAAATGGATGCTGGATTTTGTCGAATGCTTTTTCAGCATCTGTTGATATGATCATGTGGTTTTTATTCTTCATTTTGTTTATGTGGTATATCACATTTATTGATTTGCAAATATTGTACCAGCCTTGCATCCCTGGAATGAATCCCACTTGGTCATGGTGAATAATTATTTTGATGTATTGCTGGTATTTGCTAGTATTTTGTTCAGGATTTTGGCATCTATGTTCATCAGGGATATTGGCTTGTAGTTTTGTTTTTTTTTTCTTTGTAGTGTATTTTTCTGGTTTTGGAATTAGAATTATGCTGGCCTCATAGAATGTGTTTGGAAGTCTTTCTTCCTCTTGAATTTTTTGAAATAGTTTGTGGAGAATGGGTGTTAGTTCTTTTTTGAATGTTCGGTAAAACTCCTCCGTGAAGCCATCTGGGCCTGCGCTTTTGTTTGCTGGGAGAGTCTTGATTACCTCTTCAATTTCCTTAGTTGTTATTGGTCTGTTCAAGTTTTCTATCTCTTCCTGGTCCTGTTTTGGGAGATGGTGTGTTTCTAGAAATTTGTCCTTTTGCT